GGTATCTACATTAATCTGGAGACGTGTCAGATTACTGTAGTTTGTTCAGTCAAACATTTTATGGCTTTCTGTTTAGTTATCTTACCATTACCGATGTAACATCATATGTACATCATAAATTCCCAGTTTCTTTGTTGATGTACATCGCAACCAAAAACACTTGTCAAATTAACCACATCATTACTGTAAACAGTTCCATGAATGCTCCCATCTCAGAGACATTTAGTTCACAAAAAAATAACTCTTGCACGCCTTGTGTGCCTATGTTTTTTTGACAGTTGCTGGAAAACCTGCCGTAGAGAGAAAGTTTATACCCTCTCACACTGGTCATAACCTAATGTTAACCTTCTGTGCGTAAGGTGATTTTTATACTTCCTCATTAAAAAGTAGCAGGATAACTGATAACAGAAGTTCACGTTTCACTGAAAACCTTTTCAAAAGAAGTAAGGCAAATGTCACAAATTGTAGTTTTATTTTGTGAGAAATACAACAAAATCCACATTGTTCATTAGATGCCTCTCATAATTATTTGTTCAAGATTCTGTTTTAATCCAGAAAATCACATTTTACTGAAAACGTTTTCAAAAGAAGTAAAACAAGTGTAATAAAATGCACTTTTATTTTGCAGGGGAAAAAAAAAAACTGAAACATTTTTCACAAGATGCATCTCATAATTTATTTGTTATTCTGTTTCAATCCAGTACTTTACTATTTCCTCTTTGCTGGTTTTTTCCCTGCTGTTTTTCTCCTAGTGGTACCAACCACTGGACTGTTGGCTATTGGGCTTGTTTTCAGAGTGTCCACGTAAAACAAAATCCACGCCCATACCACCCCTACTGTGCAATACACAGATGTTAACATAAGCGGCAGAAAAGGCAACTTCACAGCAAGGGCAGTGAAAGGATGAATAGCACCGCAGTAGAATTCCAAGAATACTAAACCATACAGATACCATGCCTCGTACCACTCAACAATCGGTAACTTGAACAAATCCCCTACCACTGACTTTTCAGATGACTCGCCACTAAAAAGAAAGAAGATTGAACAGGTTTTACTCATTAGACCAGTTTGTCATCGCGACGAAAATCTTTGTGTCAGCCAAGATAGCTGCTAAAGAACATTATGCATGACGCCATTTTAACGTCACAACTATTACACTGTAGCATCTGGAAGGGTTCCAGTTATTTAAACTCANTCCAGGACTTTCCAGGTTTTCCAGGACCTGTACGAACCCTGCTTTAGTTTATTAAGTCTACAGTTATTACCGGTAGTTTAGTTTGCAGTTGTTAAGAGATGTTGGAGCTTACCAGTGTACAAGACATAGAGAATAGAACGAGAAGATTGTAAACATCAGCATCAAACAGACTTTGATTGGGGTTTCTGATATAAAAGAAAAAAAAATACATCAACCATCAAATGAGTGAATTTGCAAACAAATTGATTAAAGAGGTGGCACTATGAATTAGAAAGTGGCTAAATTTTGTAATAACACTGAGTCAATGCTTTACTAAGATTATTTCCACACAGAATATCACTGATTCTTGGCACCACAGAAATACCACATACATTTTGCAATTAACTGAATGATAAACAATTTTGTAGTGAGGGTTGGAGGGGCAAGTAACAAGAGGAAATGTGATGCAAGGGGGGGATCTTTTCATTTTTCTATTTTTTTTTTGGTTTTTTTTTTTTGCCATTCTTGTTCCCAGAGGCATTAACCAAGAATCAAAACCTCTGACGCCAGACCCAATTTTTTGAGCATGTGCAGAGTATTTGTTTCATATTCTAAGCCAATCAGATTTGTCAGATTTGATGAAGTGTGTGAATCGGGGACTTCCAGTATTGGACCAACCCAGAGGTCACAATTCTTGGTGCTGACCAAAAAGGAGTGCGGCCTCTAGGGACGAGAATGGTTTTTTTTTTTTTTGCATGTTCCACTTAAGGATTTTACACAATGAGAGACAGTTTACCTTGAGACTGAAAGAGCAGTGGAAACAGTGAGAGATGGCCTGTAGTGGACAAGACCAGAAACACCCGAGCAGCTCTTTGATCTACAATAGCCATGAGGCTAAAAGGAAAACAAAAAAAGTAGAAACCACTTATAAAGTTCTAAGAAAATATAATTAACATGAATTCACATGGTCTCAAGAATTAAAGAGTTTTAGAATTGCTGTAGGTTTATTTTTAACTATTCAGTGATAAGTTGGTTTTTGGTTAGGAATTTCAACTTCATAACTTTCATCAATATCCAATTTTCTTTTTTTTGTAGACATAAAAACGAAAAAAGACACCAATTAAATTCCCTTAATTTGTCTCCAAACTTTGATAAAACTATTTTACATACCTAAGAGGGATTATAACCATCAAAATAGCTTTCTCATGAACATGCCATCCAAACAGGAAGGAACCAAAAGCACAGAGAATAAGACACCGGAGAAATCCAGTGACACCGGATGGTCTAAACCATACATGGAGGAGAGCAGGCTAATTAAAAAGAACAAAACATATCTGTCACAAAAAGTTGGATGTCCAAAGTTGCAGGTTAACTAGCCCTCCACTCAAGGTTTTAACAGATTGCCTAGGTGACACCTTCCTGGTGATCTGGTGTAGACCTGGTTATTGGGTGTCTTGTCCTACACATCATTACAAGGGCCCTAATGTCTGTTTAGGTCCCTGGTGACAGTATGTTGGAGCTCAACAGAGAGTCAGATTTTGCCTGCTCCCTCATCCCTCACCCCTCCCGATCTGATTACACTACCTATTATTAGGATTCTTGCAAAGTCGCCCAGTGACTTTGCACGAACGAGAGATCTTGTTCTTCTATTTTTGAGCAAAAGGGGGAGATGAGAGAGCAGACCCAACCTGAGCCATCAGGCAAGAGTTTTAAACACACTGTCCAACCATTGCAACTCCACCTTGCCACCCATGAGGGTAAAATAATTCGAAAATCCACATTCCATGATTTAAAACAAATAATTTGCAGTAATATGTAGTATTCCTGGCAGGATCTTGCAAGATCCTTAACATTAATTCGCACTGAATCCTACAAGAACCTTGAAGGTCTTTGAGGATAGTAAGTGAATACCATCAAAAATTGCTAGAAAAGATCTTTGAAGACCATAAATTATTTTCACAGCCAGATTTTTTTTTATAACAAATTTACAGCCAGAGTTATCGACGTCTAAGCAAATAGGTGATGGGAATTTTTAACAAATCAGCTTAATGAAGCCTTGATCAACTACCAAATTCTCATTAAACATGGCCATAAGTAAAGTTCTGGAATGAGCACAGCAGACGAGATAGTCCAAACATCTCACCAGCACTGACAGAAGTGTTAATATCACCGTGACGATGGGAGGAACTGCTGGAAGAATCAAATGTTCTGATTGACCAACCAAGCCTCCAGTCATTGATGCCTGCTTATTGAAAAGCTCTTTGGGAAAAAATCCTGATTTCGAGCCTAAACAAAAAAAGAGCAATTATCACATAGTTTATTAGAAGTTAAGTTTAATCAGTAAGTTCACATCAAGGCCATCTAGGGGTGTAAAAAGAGATGGAGTAACTGAAGGGTTTTTGTGCCCTCAAAACAACCCTCAGAGTAACTGTTGTAGAATATTTCCAACTACAACCTGGAAGAGCCTGGATACAGAAATAAAAGCTTTCTCAATGACATGGGAACAGGCCAAACAGGATGCTCGAGGTGATACGTTACTGAAAAAATTAGTTAGAGGCCATCAAAATCATGACCATGTAGACAAAAAACTAAAACAAATTTAAATTACTCAGGAAATGGAAGATGACCTGAAAAAGGGTTACAGTGCAGGATATTTTAAACAATTTTCTGATCATAGTCATGTTTGGTAAGACCCACAGACTGACCTGCCACGAGATAAGTTTGAATTTAAGAATTTTACAGACTTATATTTATATCATTCTAGGCTTTCTATGCCTGAACTTCAACTCACCCAAAATAGCAACAGCCTTGTCCAAAGCATTATACAAAGCCCAGACGTTTGGTGCCCAGTAGGCATGGCACAAACCTCGCTTGAAAGGAAAAAGTCTTGATAACACCTGTGATAACTGACCCTGAATAAAATAATTAAATGGTTTTAATATGCCCAGTTTGTTTTCTATTTTACCTAGCTGTTATACTGTAGTCAAATTGATTTAGTCAACTTATATGAAAACATGCAGTGTACCAAAAAAAATATTTTTTCATAATTTGTTACAATAAAATTAAGGAAAGTAAAGCATCATGACGTTTTAACAACTTCATGTCATCATTGTCAAATAAATAAATTCAAAATAATGGCAAGGCATATTTATAGAATTTAGGATGTGAGGAAATAAATTGGCAAAGGTAACATGAGAGCAATCAGGTGAAAAGTGTCGCTCGCATGGAATCTGCTTGAAAAATGTCATGTTGCTTTACTTTTGTGAATTTTCTTGCTTAAATGTTTTTGGAAACATTTTTTGTTACAACAAAATTGTGTTTTTTAACCAGCTTACCATGGCTATAAATGGTCCAAATGAAGCTCCAAACACAATTACCACTATAAAACCAAGCTTGACCAAGTTCAAGGGAGAAAAATCCCAAATATTTACACCACAAATTCTAAGCTGCTTCTCTGCAAGATGAGAAAAAAATATATATATATTTTTAAGTCCAATTTGTCCTTTACTACACATTTATGGACTGACTGGAGGGGAAAGTTCCAGTGCTTTTAAAGACACAGAAAGGATCCTAAATGACTGCAAGACTAAAGAATGGCCCCACTATAACAAAAACATCAAGGTAATTATTTTATTATGTAAATTGTAATGTACCTTTCTTTTCAGCTGCAGAAGGTTGGAAACAATAGGACCGCAAAAGAAAGACAAAGTAAGCAGGAGCAATGTAGAGGAAGATGTGTTTAAAATTCAGCAAAACAGCAAACCAAAAAGAACCTTCCAATATCATTCCCTGAAAAGTACATTTGAATATAGATTGTAGTTAAAGGATGGGTGATTGAATACTCAGAAACTATGATCTTGGGATCAGAACATGTAATAATAACTAAAGGAGTTGCACATTGTTGATTAAAAAATAGCCCAAAGAAAATATGTACACGTTCTGATTGGTTTAAAACGATGTTTCTATTAAGCAGTTAGATTACGACCTCAAAATTTCTTATTGCATGATAGTTGATGAGGGCGCAGCCTGAGTCAACTATCACGCATTGAAATTGAGAGAAAATGATCTAATTGTTTCAGTATAAATCTACTAGTAGTTCAAAACTTAATCTAAATCCTCTTCACAGACACTTCGAAAATGCCAAGAAGCAGCCATCATTTTGTTAACAAGAGCACACTGCTATACTACTCACTATCTATCACAGAATAGATGGTGAGTAGCATAGCCAATCAGAGAACAGCATTCGTGATAGATTTGTACTGAAACTTGATAGAAACACTGAACTAGCATGAGCTGTTGACATTATGATGGCGCAAGCAAAGAGAATTTACAATCTTATGATTAAAGTAAACAAGTTTTTTTCTTTTTATCATGGTGAATTTTCTAAGAGAAATAAAAAACATGTTCCCCATGCTTCTATTGACTTATAGAAACTTGAAAAAGCTGTGGAAATACTCGGCTCTTGGCTCGTGTTCCCACAGCATTTCTTGTTCTCCCAAACTTCCACTTGAGTTTCTATAACTTGATAGAAACATGGTACATGTTTTCTATTTCTTAAATACAATTCATGATTGAATTGCAGGAAAAATTACTTCATGCAAAACTGGAATGCAACTTTAGAAAGTGTATAAAGTAGTAGCCACAAACTTTTTGTACATTCTGCTCTGTGCTGTTTAAACTAAGCAACAGAGGACATAAAGATAGATGTACAATAAGCACCTCGGACAGTTTTGCTATAGAGAGAAGGAAAATACCAAATAGAAATCCATTGTACTGAAAATGAATGTCTGGAAGATATTAAGGAACAGTTTCCACATGTAGCCTTAAACATTTAAAACTCTGCTGCTGGCAGTATTAATTAAAAGCAGCCACTGACTCTGTCTCAGAACATTTACACGCACAGTTTAAATTTTGTATCAAGGGTGACAGCTCTTACTTACAAGGGCTACTTCCTTGCAAACACATTGGAACCTGTGTAAAGCAAACTGTTACATTCTGAAGTCAACATTTTTATGACATGTTGCATTTTTGAGCATATGAAAGAAGATAAGTTACATTGAAGAATTGAAAAAATGACCACAAGAATCAGCCATCTTAGTCCGAAGTTGATTACTTGACTCTGCATTACTGAAGAATGACATAAAAAAACATTGCTAATAACAAATATTAATCTAGATCTATACTGAACATTCTGTTCTGTTTGAGTGGACAGATCGTTTCAAAGGATACGATCTACTATAAGCAGTCCAAAATTAAAAATAACCAACATGGCTAAGATCAAGCAATTACGTGCAGGCAAGGATGACCTCTTGGCAAGATATCTGCAATACCTAGAAAATTAAGTCAAGAATTTTCAGTGAGTTACAATCAACCCTAACTAGCAACCAATCCCTGTACTGGCTACCTCAGTCTATAACAGCCAGGCATTTTCCTTCGACGCTGCTACTATACTGATTGTCAATGGTTGAAAGCAAGAACATCCAGGCTTGTTGATCCACACATATATTACTAAGTATTTCATCATTATCCAATTAAGGAATAAGTTGATACTAAGTTACATGACTGTATCATTATTGTAATCATTATAAAAATCTAAAATTGCTTAAAAAAATAAGACAAGTTAAAAATCTTCCTGTTGAGAAAATAAAACATTTTTTTTCACAAATACTTAAGAGACTTTAGACAAATGTTGAATGACAGATTTTTACACCCACTTACTCCTTTACTGCATAAGCCAAGACCAAATCTGTAACTATAACTGATCCTCTTTGGAACAAAACAGTTGAGATGCTGACATACTCCAGCTTACTTATGACGACCATCTTTGGATCAATAAGCACAGCTACTTGTGATAACAGGTATTCAAACCATGCAAACAGAGGTGGATAATCTAGAGTCCATTGAGACGTACTCTACCAATGAAAATAAAACAAGGATATCAAGAAGAATTTAAAAGCCTTATTCTAAACCTTGGTGGTTAATATCTAGGTTGTGAACTCTTAGTCTCAGGCCTGATGGTAGTTCTTACTTCTTTTATCAGTTCAGCCAGCAAGAAAACCATTTAGTGCCATGGTTAGAGCACTTTTCAATTGAGTGTTGAAAGTACAGCCTTTTTTATATTTTCTGTGGAGGCGTAGTGGCCTCATGGTTAGTGTGCTCAACTCCGGATTGAGCAGTCTGGGTTTGAGCCCTGGCCAGGGGCATCATGTTGTGTTCTTGGGCAAGACACTTAACTCTCATAGTGCCTCTCTCCACCCAGGTGTATAAATGGGTACCAGCAAATTTATTGCTAGGGGTAACCCTGCTATGGACCAGCATCCCATCCAGGGGGTATAGAAGAAATACTCCTAGTCACTTCATGCTACAGAAACCGGAGATTAGCACTGCCCTGATGAGCCACTTGGCTCACATGTAGACTTAACGTTATTTTTCTGTCAATTTTAGGCTGAGAGCATTCTTGTGAATATTCTTAGATTCTAGTGTATGACATTTCTGTTTAGTTGACTTTGATGGTGTTGACGTAATTTTGGAGCCAAACTGCAGTCAGTGAAAGCCTGATACGACTCACGTAACTTCTTGCAGAACTGGGACTAGTGCTGTTTGCTGCTTTTTGGCTAGAATTGCCGTTTAGAGAAAGGAAGAAAATAAAATACAAATTTTCAACACAAAATTGTATTCTTTTCAAAATCTCAAACTCGGGTTTATTCTTAAAATATTCTTAAAATTTTGCAAATTTCAGCCTCGATATTCTTTTAAAATAAATTGTATTCTTATAAAAAGAAAGAGCATAATCAGGCAACCAGTTTGGTTTTACTGTGGTTTGAGATTGGTAAGTAGTCTTGTTGAGTAATCTAATAAGAAAATTATTTTAAGAAGCAGCATTGCAGAGTACCTCATAATACCACCTTGACAGGGGAAGGCTGTTTGTGATGGCAAGCCAGTTTCTATGCACTTCAAAATCACTAGAATGACTGAAATTTAAGTAACACACAGAAGAGCACAAAACAAGAACAATACAAAAAAGTCATTCAAATTTCCATTCTACATGTAAATGGTTAACTTTCATACAAGAATTTACTTCTAAAGCCAGTGTTATAACTAATAATCTGTTAAGAAAATTGAATATTCGTTATTAAGACACACTTACAGTGGAACATTTTTGTTTACCTGATATATGCCTGTTAATAAGTCAAACTAATGAATGATTCAGCATTTTGCTGGCTTGATATCAAAGGTGTTTTGATGTGTAGTATTGCTGTATATTTTTACTTGGTGGTTGTACTTTGACTTGCCCTACGGGCTCATCAAAATAGGACATACCGATAACTAGTAAAAAATATAAAGTGAGGGCACACACCGAAACATCTAATAAGACATGTGCATCCAATATCCAATTTCATTTCCTTACAAAGCTGTTAACAGGAAAACGACTGTGGAGTGACTTGCAAACAAAAAGTAGAAATAACAATGTTATCTTGATCATCATTATAATGTAAATGGCAAAAGGCTCACTGTAGAGCAAGGTTGCTTTTCAAAACAACAAAGTCCTGAATGCAAAACAAATCCGCTTCCTGACCCAAGGTGCATAACGCTTTTAATGTCAGTCACTAGTGATATATAATCTTGGTTGACCACATCCTGATGATAAAAATAATGAAGAATTTCACCAGCACGAAACTATGGTAAATGTAATTTTCAGATGCTTTTATTATATTTCATCTGTGGCGGAGGTATTATTGTTGTGAGAGAGAGACTCCTCTGCTTTAACAGGTTACTGTGATACAATTTCCAAATCCATACAACACCACAATCAGTTATGAACAGTGCACAAATGTCTGTCAAATCATGGCAATTGTGTTAAATATTCTAGTATCTTACTAGACTGTTAGACAAAATCTCAGCAGTACTCAATCAAGCAATGGACATACTTCAAAACATCTGTCTGATTAACAGTTCTAAAGCGGTGTGTTTATTATCACCGCCGGCTACCTAATACCAAAATAAATCGTTTCAATGTTTCACTGTACATGTATTTTTTGATGATCATTATCAAGAAACTAGCTTCAAAATTGTAATTAAGATGATAATGCAGTTCAAAACAAGAATGATTAACATAAAAATGGGATTCCAAAGGGCAAGATGCTTTCTTAAATTAATGCTTCAACGCAAAATATTGTAAGTTCAATTAACATAGCAAGCTTTCACGCTTATGTAACTTAACATTTCATTAAAAGAGTAAAGTTGTACTTTCGCGCAAATTGAATTTATTACATAACGTTGAGCGATGCGCTCAGCTTCATCTGAATAAACAGATTTCGACAAATCAGATCAAGCGTAACCTACTTCAGTTTCAAACGTGCACAACAATTAGTTACACTCGGATGCCCCCGACGCTGGATGCTGTTTACGCAGGTTCACGGTCTGTCGCGCAAGCTATCACAAAAGCATTAAGCTCACTACTCACGCGATAATACACCAACGTTTACCACTTAAAAACACTGAACATTATGTCTAGAATGGTACTACGCCGGAATCAGGAGAGATTTCAGGATCACGGAGAAAACAACAAGGCTGTTCCACCACTCTGCCATCCCATCCGCTCTCAAAATTGCCGCCATGTTGGATTAAATCGCCTACTGCGCATGCAACTCGTGAATATCCGCTGTAAGTCTCATGCGCCTCCGATGTCACCTCGATGTCACGTATGTACATAGCACACGCAATAGATCAGATGGCATGACATTCGAGTGTAAACAGCCTTATGGCGAACAAAAAGGTCTCCGTTTCCTCAACTTCCCTGTCCATGACTCTTCCGATTTCTTGCCAGATTTGTCTAGGAAAGGTAAGTCTTGTACTAAGAGTGGCTTTCGCGTGTATGTCTTGTGTATTGAACCATACGCGACTCGCCGAAATGCCGGATTTGAACTGAAATTAATTGTTGTGTGGTATTCATAGGTTAGGGAACCCGTTGTATGCCCCAATCAGCATGTCTTCTGTTCAAATTGCATGGACATGTGGCTGCGGTCTCACTCATTCTGCCCAACGTGCCGAACGTCGATAACTTCAGAGAAACCTTGTAAGAAGATTCTAGGTAAGATTTTCAGAGATTTAACTTAATATCTGTTTGCCGCAGTTTCCTTCCACAAGGAAGAACATGTCGGTCTTTACAAATCATCCAACTGATGTTATCAAGTCTTCGTTTAGGCAAAATTATAAACAGTCAAGGTTTTTTAATGAGATTCTACAACGAATAGACATAAATTTCTTAATTTCAGACACGCTGAGTCGTGTAGTTCGTTTACATTTGGTTACTTGTCGGGGTCGCCGAACGGGTTGAAAGGAAACTTGGTTTAGAAGAGTAAATTGATGTACTATCAATCGAATTTTCAGTGTCATAGCATACTACATGTAAAGAGTTTATCAGAAGTGGTGTTCTCGTGGACTGGTCTGGTTATTTTTCCGTGCAAGCTAAAGTCCTGCCCTTATGACTCGCTAGCACAATATGTCTTCGACTTGCGGGTCATTGACCGTCTGGATCGAAGCATTCTTGTCATATCTCTTTTGTGTGAACCTCGATCGAGGCTATTTATCGTGTGACCCGTGTAACCTGCAGTTGATTTCGAAAACAATTATGCATTTTATTAGCAATCCAGATAACCAATCAGAGGCCTTGTTTATGTTATATGAGCCAAAGTACTAATTCCATTAAAAAGAAGCTATTCTTTCGTATTTACCACAAGCTGACGTGTTTCCATTGCGCAATATTTATGAACACTTCTTCTTTGCTTGGTCAGACAGTAGGGTATTAGAATAACAATGACTTTCATGTGAGGTTCCTTTAGCAACCACGGGTGATTGTCTGCTATTTTTACCCTCCCCAGACCGCTCGTTCAATATCTAATTGAAGTTCTGCCAACAATATTAGCCCAGTCTAGAACAGTTTTCAAGTTTAAAAATTATAATATTGAGTACAATATATATGTTTCATATCATTTTTGTGTCTTTATATCAGGAAGTATTGATTTGCCAGTGAACTCTGATGCCGTGACAAGAGCAGAGTTAAGACGAACCAGACTTGACTTAATTAGACGTGAATATGAGGTAAACAGAATGACATGCACGTGCACACTGAGTGCTAGGTTAATGCGAACTCGTGTTAAATTTTCTAAGCCATTTAAAAAACCGAAATATGCAATTTTGAGTTATTATTCCGCATGTGTTGTGCAATGCGATCTCTTTTTTCATATATGTCTGACAGGGCAAGATTCTAGATGGTAAAGCACTCAGATCTCTATCTTTTGAGGTCAGGGTGTCCTTTGGCAGGTATTTTTTTTTTTAAATTAGCAGGATACATATGTGTTTGCTACTCATAAAAACAGTCTGTAAGTAGTCAGTTATAGTACGGAAGGTTTTTTAAAAAACGCACTATAGTTTTTTTATCTGTTAAAAATAAAGCCATCTTGAAGGGGCAGGCATTGTTTTATGCTAAATTGAGGAGTGGCTTGATTGACTTTATCTACCTGGTATTGATTTCTAATCTTTTTCTAACAAATACAACATGTGTCAGTCAAAGCATGGGAGGGGTTTCTTTGTTTATATTGGTTGCCTTTTAATTGTAGGAAATGTCACAAAAGGACCACTGCGAGGTGAAATATTTTAGATATTGTTCTGTACATCAGAACCCACGAAAGATTTTGGCCAAATTCACAAAAGCTGGCTTAACCTTTTCTCCTCTTGCAGGACTGTATTTCTTTTGCAGGTCTGCAGTTCTTCCATGTAAAGCTTTAGTGCAAGACTTCATAGCCTGTGTTACAGCCATCTACAAAAGAAAAAAAAAATGGCGTCAATGTCACAAAATCTGATGCAATGTTTAGAGAAAACAATGGAAATTGCTCTCAGCACAAACTCTGCACGTGATCTTTGCGTGAGACAGTTAACAACAACCTTTGATAGAAGACAGAAAGAAGACTCTTGCGGAATAATTTTGTAGCCACAAAAGGCTGATCACCTCTAGTAATCTGGCTTGAAACCTCAAAATTCTAAACATTAATCTCACTCACAAAGTGTAACATTTCCATTGAGGTCTCTGTTACCAACTCTTTGAGTATTTGTCAACTCAACCAATAAAATAAAAGCGCTGATTTCAACAGTTAACAAACATTTAACTTCATTAAACTGGAAACAATAGATCAACCAATCAGGTCATTTTCCACACATTTTAGGCCTCTCATGATTAGTATATGTAATCGCATGGGCCCTCGGGCAATTAAGGGTTAATTTCACGAGTATTTTCAAAGTTTTCACAAAAATGCCCGAGTTGGGAAGTGAAGGGGGCAATGTGGAAAACTTTGAAAATACAAGTGAAATTAATCCTTAATTGCCCGAGTGTATTTCCAATTACATGCTTATCACATAAAGGGTAAAACTCTATAATGGAATACTTTCAAGGTCTTGCTGTTGCATAAACAGGTTTGCTGGTTGTCATTAAAGAACAGGCTAGCAGTAGAACCAAGAAAGCCTGCTATAATAGTAAGCCAAACACAGTAAGTTCAATTCACTCAAAGCAATTTCTATACAAATAAAACTTTAAGCAATCTAATTTTATTCCCTTGTTTCACGAAGCTTGCAACAGCGTGAAACTACTTCCTCGATCGCTGAAAGACATAAACCAGTGTGTCCAAACAAGCCCTAATAACTTCTTGAATCCAAAACTCTCCTTTCCACCGCGAAAACTTAATGTACTAACAAAATTTACGCTCTTTTTTGTGCCAAAAAGGTGACCTGTGATACTAATAAGCCGACCCGAAGCAAGACGAAGAAATTAACTTTCAATTTGGCAGCCATGAAGTTCTGTAATTCTATGCTTCGTGTGACACTAGATGTCCCCACTCAAACTTTTTTCAGGCTGCGAATCAATACTTTTTTGGATGGGAAAATCCTTTTCCTTTTTTGCTCTTTGCTGCATGTAGATTTTCTTTCACATTAAAGCCTCTCTGTCAACCGGAATGCTTCACAGGCATTTGTATTTGTTTTTACTCTGTAACTGAAGAAAAGGTTAGAAAAATCAGAAGGATTTGGGGCATTTGGTGGCCTGAAATATAATTAACTGGTAGAAACTGATATGAGATGTTTGCTTTAGTCACAATTTGGCTGAGAACTACTGTATTTTGAAATTCTGACTTCGCGTTGCAAGGTGACAGCTGTCAGCTACGGTTCCTGCCACCCGTAAGCATCATGCAGAGACTTGAAACAATTTCATGCAATGAATTTGCTTTTTATTTGCTTTCAGAGACTTAAGAAGCATATATACAGAATTAACAGTACTTCCTATGCTTAGCATATTGTCTCATTCATGATGCAGAATAAGAGGAACAATAATTATTTGTTTCGTTGATGAATTCATACCACGCTTCAGAATCCTTACAGAGTTATTATCAATAACGGGTCACGTACGGATACTAAAATGTTTTCAGTTCACTCTTTTTGCAATAAAAGGTTAGTTTTCTTTACCAGGAATATAACGCAGCAGAGAAAGCACTTTTCACTTTTCTTCAAAATAAATTTCAAGAAATCTCACCAAAGTTAACCTCAAATTGGATGAATCCACAAGTAGTGTGATAGTCTTTTCTGAAGGCTAGCAATGCGAAGGAAAATTCAATTCACTGTCACTCACTGCTGCAAACGGGAGTATTTTTTCTTTGTATCCGAGTACATCTTAACTGTTTCTCCAGCAATCCTAGACAGATTTTCGGAGATAATTCTCTTGACGAATGTCTATGGTCTACACCTTCCGACAAGGTTCTTCGCAGTCGCCATGGCCAAAATCACATTGTACCGGCTGTTCTTTAGTTTCTCAAATATGTGAAAAAAACTGACAATTTGCGATCATATATTCCCCTCAGTGTTAAGGGTGATAATGAATCTTGTCTTTAAATGTCAGACATGTAGAACAATCCAGATGAATGCCTTGGATTATAAAGGATTGAAGAGCGAATTGATTGGCAACAACAAATTAGAAGTTTCGTGAACCAGGAAACCTCCAACAACATGCGCAATGCATGCCTGTCGACAGAGAGTCTTTAAGATGAAATAGCCGTGTTTAGATCAAACTCAGAAGGGAAGCGTTTCTGAAATTCCTTTTCAAAATCTGTTTGAAGCTGTTTGAAGCGGGAAACCAACTTAATGCAGGCATACTGAGCCAATCAGCATCCAGTAATCATGCCCTCTATATTACCAAAAGTGCTGTCGTGATTAGAAAAAATGCCCTCTGTCTCAGCCAATCAGCATTCGGTAATTTTGCCCTGTATGTGATAATCATTGGAAACACACAATCCCTCTCTCCTTTTTTTTCGTTCAGGGAGGGCAGCTGTAACACAGGCTATACACAACATTGTGAAGAAGAGCTTATTTAATTACATGCTGTCCTCTTTTTGGCAGCATAAACATCTGTATACATTGTAAACGTATACTGAGTGCAACCTATCTTTCAAATACTGTCTTTGGTCCATTACAAGGAATATGCCACACAGATAGCAACAAGTCCTTAGTGTTCATGCCTTGCTGATTTTAACCAACATAACATGTTGCAAGGACAGATTGAATGCAAAATAAATAGGTGTATGAACTGGAGGGGGGGGGGGGAACAAGGGGGGCTGCAGCCCCCTTAGCTACGGAAATTATATGATTTTTTGGGCAAAACACTAATGACTCGGGCAACGACACTTGAGAGAAAACATTACAAAATAATGCTGTTTGCATAATTTCCAAACTTGTAAATAACATTTTTAGCTAGTTACTTTTTTTAGAAATTTTTCTTTTAATAAGTTTAAGATTCTACTCGGATTGAGACTGTTGATAGAGTATGATTGATTGATTATGTAAGCTTAGAATATAACTATTTTAGTTTCATTAGATGTGAGAATTGTGACCATTTTTGTTTTTCATGCAATTTGAGTGCATTTGCATCCTGATTTGAACACTCTTGCATTCGGGCATTGCATAAAGTTTCGGGCAAGAAGGTCACCACCATGAAGTCCGAAGGTGGGTAGGGGGTCCAACAGAGGGTAGGGTGCCTATCACCCACATTGGGCAAGCATTGCATTCCCTCCAGGGGTACAGTTAGCAGTTTTGGACACTATGTTCCTTTCTGTCGCACTTAAGTCACAGTAACGGATTTGGTGTCTTGGCAAGACTCAGATTTTATCATTCGTCACCCTTTTAATGGCCTGAGTACAGACTTTACCTTACAATGTTTTGCTACTGTTAGTGTTTGTGTATTTACATTGTATAACTATTTTTATAATAACTGCACTTTTGTAGGATGAAATCAAATCCCTTCAAAACACAGTAGATCGACTGAAATCTGAAAATAAGCAGCTTCACGAGAAGATGATTGAACGAGAAAGAACAATGGCCTCTATGGACTTTACAAGCAGACATGGGACCAAGGAAGACGGTGCTAATAAACTGGACATTGACATGTTAGTAAAACTCACAACCAGGTTACAGAAAGCAAGTCACACTTACGAAAGTCTAAGAGGGGATATGGACAAGATCAAAGAGGTACTTGGCTGCATATAATGTGTGTTCTATTTACTCATAGCATTTTATTACCTTGTGATATTATTCCATTATTCATTATTTACCCTAAGATAAAGCCCAGGCTTAGGGTTAGGATTAGGTTACAGTTTGGGATAAAGAGAAAATAAAATATTATAATGTGGTATAAATTATTGTTTGTAGGATAACAAGAGGCTGCAAGAGGAAAACAGGAATCTTACGAGAGAAAACTCTCGCCTTAAAGATGACCCAAAGTTTTCCAAGTCCCCTCAGAGGTGTGGGTTTGTTGTGATTTTAAGATGATTTCCACAGAACATTTGAGCAATAATGGCAAAAATTAAGTTACCAAAAAACCTCATTGCATGGCAATATTTTGAATACAGTTAAGAAGGACTTACCAAGACTTTAGTTCCAAGTTGACCCTGTGAGGGAAAATTGAACTTGAAGTTATCCATATTTCAAGTAAAACAGATGTTTAGCATTAGTTAAAAACAATTATAACACATGCTTTAAGAATTCTTATGAGGTTTGACAGTTACTTTCTCGGGAATGCTTGAGAATTTAATTGCAGAGTCACACGCAGAAATGAACTAAAGTGAGTTGTTTTCAATAGCATTCCAAACGTTACTGTGCTATGAGTAGATTTTTAGTAAATAATTTTTGTACGTATTGCTCAAACTTTGAACGGAATCTGTCTTGATCCTTTGTTTATCTTGCCAATGTGAATAAATAGGAATAATTGGAAAAGCTAGTCAATCAATTTATTAATGCCTTCACTAGTGACAAAAGCACAAGTACAAAATGCTTTATTTTGCCACTCATGAAAACTAGGCCTAGTAAGTTAGAATCAATTTCTATCACTGATTTAGATTTCTGATTATTTTATCAACTAATTGATAATGGTATGCACCTTAGGTGATTTTGATATTTTCTGCACCACATTGATTTCTGGTTATTTTTCACAAAGTCGTGTTCATCTTGTTGTTGTAACTTGTGCATTAAACATCTCTGAATGCCTACCAAAACACTTCTGTTAGAAAATTACCTGCCGTCAGATACATGAATGTTCTTCTTAAGTTGAGATCTTGCAAAACTCTGTAAGGTACCATAACCAGCCTTTTATCAATGAAGGTATGGAATGCAGACACTGATGAAATATTGTGATTTCCTGGCTGACAACCGAGCAGCTAAGCCTCAGTATAAGTAGGCTGAGTTTAAAACATTACTTCATAGATTTAGAAAATTTGTATTTTGGCTACATTCAGTGCAAGAACCCCTGCAATTAAATGTTTCAAAATGTCATTAATTCCTCTTTAGGTTCAGCCACTATACAATGGCAGGTCTTCAGACAAAAGTAGGTCAGTATGAGCGTGAAGTTCAGCAACTCAGAAAAGCATTACAAAAGAGCGATAACTACATAGAGGACCTGACAAGCAAGCTGGATGTGCCGACAGGACAGTCTGTTGTCAAGTCTAAGAGAGGCCAACCCAGATCAAGCTCAGTGCCAAGTTCCTGCACAATAACAAGTCTTTCAGAGGACAAAGATTCATCAGAGAATGGCACTGCTACCAAAAGTACAGATGATGTCCAAGAGGTAGAAAATGTCGATCCACCAGAGGATGCAAGCCCTGGCAATGATGGGGATCAAAAGAAAAGGTCTTCAACTGCAGGTGATAACGAGAATGTCATGTCTAATGGTCATTCTCCAATCCTTGCACCAATGAACAATGAAAGGTTCTCGTTAGAATCAACCACTTCTTTTGCAGATGAAAGAGCATCTGGTCTGAGCTCCCGACGAAGTTCCGAGGTCAGTCTGTATGGTCAAGACTTGGAAATCCCCCCTGGACCACTTACAAGCTCTCTCAACATTCTGGAGCCTGTGGAGGGGGAGGCACTTGATCGACCCCCATCTCGAGGAGAGCTGTTGTTACTTGGTGACCCTTCTTCTAGGAGACAGGAGAAGCCCCCACTAGAAGAAAACCTGAATATGTTCACTGCAAGTCGACAGCTGATTATGATGAGTGAGCGCAGGGCAAGGCAGAGGGATGTAATGGATCCAAGTAGATTACGAGATTTTAGTGAATGTTCACCAAGCAGCTCTGACGGAGGGAAAAGGAAATCACTGGACGCAAAGTCCCTTGATTTTGATATGTTCACCAGTGCTGCTGACGAAGATTCACCAAGCAATTCTGTTTCACATGAATCTCCTTCTTACAGCAGAGAAGCTGAGAGTGGTTCCCCTTGTTTTCATACTTTCTCGTTGGCTAAAATCAAGTCAGAAATAGAGCTAGGCCATGAGGATGAGAGTGCCCCCAAAAAACCAAGAGTAGAGGCTGATGAGTATCCGGATACTGTAGAGAGCGATGACCAGGGAAAACCTTGAGTCCTCCAGTGACTACCTTTGTTCACATGTGTAGTGTACCTTCATATTCTCATTATCAGTAGCTGCATCATGATGCAGTGATAAAATGTTTCTGATTGATCTTTTCTTAGTTCCTGTTACATATAGCTGCAACATGATCACAGTAGTGTCCAATTACTGTAATCAAGTTAAACCTTGTAGTTTCAAGTTGATTTTGGAAATTACTTGGCTGCTTGATTTCATTCATGTAGTCCACTCACTCTAGATACTTTAAGTAATTTATTGCAAATTAAGAATAAGAAGTAAGTTATTAGTTTCAAAAAGTTCAAAAATGAAGTAATTTGTTATTCCCATGGCAAATGATTTTTAAGTGATGCTTTATACTTTCTCCAGATTATGCTGCTAATACTTTTAGACAAGCAATGACTTAGATGCCCAAACGGTTATGAGCCCCCTGAAGATAGTTTGTTATCTACTTTTTGATAAATAGATTCTGTCATGATTATGCAAACCAATTTGTGATACCATTCGGAATCAGTCACATTTACTTCACTCTCAGAACAATACCAAATTAATGTATACCATCCCTCCTGGATTATCTGGAAGAGAGCATGTGTCCCACATGTGAAGGAAGTGCTAAGAGTGCATTTTTCACTCTGATTTTAGCTGATTTTGGGGTGACACTTAAACAATATTTGATGCATTTTTTTTATTATTTGGTGAAACCCTTCTTACAACAACTTTTCTTTAGGGAGGAAAATTGGCAACCTCCCAGATTTTCTTCTTTTAGGTTGGAAATGTGCCAACCTAAATGTGAAAAAAAAAGGATTATATATTTCCCACTTATTTTGAGTGGTATCAGACATTGGTTCCCCTCAGAATCGGATAGGAATGCAATGCTAATACTGTATTTTGTGCTTTATTGTTCTTCCTAAATGTGGGTGCACATTACATAGGCCCATTCTGATTATTTAGAGTTAGCTTCATGCACACTTCTCAAAATTGTTGAAGTGTATGAAGGAAATGGTCAGGGAAGTTTATCCTCAATTTGACATTGAGTTATTTAAGTATTATGAGAACATCTACATGCAAATTACTTTACATGGCATTGCTCAATCTAACACTGTAATACTCTGCATTTCAATCATTGAAAGACAGAAAATTGCAGTTTTATACATAATACGTGGCGTTTATGACAGTAGCTCACATTTTGTAGTATTCATAACATTTAGTAACAAGTTGTTTGATTCCATTTTGTCCCTGGACACTAAAATATTTTATTTTAAGTTATGAGTTGATATTTGGTAGTGCCATGAGTGTACAGAGCCCCTTTAATAAGACTGTTACCATGTCGTCATAGTCAAATTTGACCAGTCCCATTATTGAGATGGATAAACAGTGTAATTCAGTTCATGTTTTAAGTCTGAATGCTTTGTTCAGCTTTTCCGAGCTTTACAGCTGTAGATAACAGCAACAGTGGCATAAGATATAAAAATGTACTGGTGACTACCATGGTGCATATAGATTTCCAAACAGTATTCATCCAAGTTTTCGCCCACTGAATTTTGACAAATAGGGAAGACTGTGGGTGCATTATCCCTGAACACCAGGAAATTTCTATACTGTAGATTATAATGCACTCAATTTGAGGTTTTAAACTACATTTCTGACAATTTTTAATGGGAGTAAACAGTAAAATCGCAAGATCATGACTCTAACTATTAGTAAGTACTTGTTTAGCAGTGCTAGGTAACAGTAGCCCTTGAAATGAATTGGAGATGTAGGAATGGGGTAGCTGTGGTGTAATTTTGAGTAGCTGTATACCTTGTATGACTACATGTAACAACTTTTGAGGTCGATACTAATGCAAATATTCTAAATGTCATTTTTTGAGGGTATAGAATATTTAGAAATTATGCAGAGTAGGCTGGGAGAAATTTTGCAATAGTCTGTAAGTCATGTGTGAAACTGATAAAAATACAAAGCACCCACTACTAAACACAGTGAGAGTGTTGTTATGTTATAAAACAAACATTTTTCACCTCTTACTGTCACCACACTGCTTGTGTTATTGCAAGTGAGTCAGATTTTCCTCTCTGTAGATTAATTTTCACTGGTTTAATTATGAACAAAAACATACCCAAAAAATTATTAGGATAGCTTCTAGTTTTTCAAGTTAATTTCTGTAACTTTCTAACTCCTTTTACTCCCAGGGTCAACTGGAACATTTTCCTTATTGTGTTTACATACGTTTTGTTTAATTAATTTAGTTTCAAAGGGCCTGAAGCATGGTAACACTCAAGCCCAGCTTTGATTGACAGAAAACAAGTGCACATTCAAAGAATTTAGCAAAATTACGCCTCATTTTTTGGCTTTATTATATGACTGAGAGTGGGCCAATTTATCATTAATTTTTGATTTGCCCTGCGGTGTAGATTAATGTAGGCACATTCATAATTCTCTCAGTCAAATAAGGATTTACACTACCCATGATCAGTGAAAATTCTTCTAAGTGTACCAGTACTTGCCTAAAGGCTTGTGCAATTGGAGGGAATTGTCAAATATAACTTGTAGTGTAAATCCTTAATTGCATTCCCATTCATATGATTTCCTATGATAATAATTTTAACTGACTTCGTAATTTTAACAATATTGTTTAGCATCATGGACATGTAGTGCTATTAAAATGTTGCTGTTGTGTTTTGGACGCATTGCGAGCCTATTTTAGCGAGGTCAAATAACAATAGGCCCGCAATGCATACAAACTGCTGTATCTCTGCACCGAATAACCAGGACATTGTGGTTTTCAAGTCACCAAAAATCTTTTGTTACAGAAAGTAATTTTCAGTTGGTTCCAAGTGAAAACAACAGTTGTGAGAAATCAATTTTGACTGGTTGGGTATACCAAGCAAGCCCATATATGCTCCCAAATATTTTGGATGTTGCACTTTATGGTACTTAAGGCTCTATTAAATTATTAAAATTCTCTGTTAAGAAGATCAAATGGTTCATGCTCAACCTGCTTACTTGTATTGGATTAAATAGGAATATATGACTGCTGGGAGTTAGCCCTTTCAGGGTTTAAAAACCGTGATTTCAATAAACTAATTCTCCTTACTTGACACGGAATAACAAAACACTAGTTGGGAGAACTGTATTACATGTAGTGAAAGCCAGTTTTTCTTTGGGGAATCTGTTGTTGTGTTTTCATGGCCTGCATGCAGATAGCAGAAATTCATAATTCTTAATATCTGGATAAAGATGTAAGAGAATCCTTCATAAGAAAAAATATTGTGACTGATACATTTACCATAACTCGTAGCGCACGAAATCAGAAAAGTTCTAAAATCGTCAAACCAAGCAAAGTCGTTAATACAGGGGCGAATTTTTCGCAAANCTGTTGATAGAGTATGATTGATTGATTATGTAAGCTTAGAATATAACTATTTTAGTTTCATTAGATGTGAGAATTGTGACCATTTTTGTTTTTCATGCAATTTGAGTGCATTTGCATCCTGATTTGAACACTCTTGCATTCGGGCATTGCATAAAGTTTCGGGCAAGAAGGTCACCACCATGAAGTCCGAAGGTGGGTAGGGGGTCCAACAGAGGGTAGGGTGCCTATCACCCACATTGGGCAAGCATTGCATTCCCTCCAGGGGTACAGTTAGCAGTTTTGGACACTATGTTCCTTTCTGTCGCACTTAAGTCACAGTAACGGATTTGGTGTCTTGGCAAGACTCAGATTTTATCATTCGTCACCCTTTTAATGGCCTGAGTACAGACTTTACCTTACAATGTTTTGCTACTGTTAGTGTTTGTGTATTTACATTGTATAACTATTTTTATAATAACTGCACTTTTGTAGGATGAAATCAAATCCCTTCAAAACACAGTAGATCGACTGAAATCTGAAAATAAGCAGCTTCACGAGAAGATGATTGAACGAGAAAGAACAATGGCCTCTATGGACTTTACAAGCAGACATGGGACCAAGGAAGACGGTGCTAATAAACTGGACATTGACATGTTAGTAAAACTCACAACCAGGTTACAGAAAGCAAGTCACACTTACGAAAGTCTAAGAGGGGATATGGACAAGATCAAAGAGGTACTTGGCTGCATATAATGTGTGTTCTATTTACTCATAGCATTTTATTACCTTGTGATATTATTCCATTATTCATTATTTACCCTAAGATAAAGCCCAGGCTTAGGGTTAGGATTAGGTTACAGTTTGGGATAAAGAGAAAATAAAATATTATAATGTGGTATAAATTATTGTTTGTAGGATAACAAGAGGCTGCAAGAGGAAAACAGGAATCTTACGAGAGAAAACTCTCGCCTTAAAGATGACCCAAAGTTTTCCAAGTCCCCTCAGAGGTGTGGGTTTGTTGTGATTTTAAGATGATTTCCACAGAACATTTGAGCAATAATGGCAAAAATTAAGTTACCAAAAAACCTCATTGCATGGCAATATTTTGAATACAGTTAAGAAGGACTTACCAAGACTTTAGTTCCAAGTTGACCCTGTGAGGGAAAATTGAACTTGAAGTTATCCATATTTCAAGTAAAACAGATGTTTAGCATTAGTTAAAAACAATTATAACACATGCTTTAAGAATTCTTATGAGGTTTGACAGTTACTTTCTCGGGAATGCTTGAGAATTTAATTGCAGAGTCACACGCAGAAATGAACTAAAGTGAGTTGTTTTCAATAGCATTCCAAACGTTACTGTGCTATGAGTAGATTTTTAGTAAATAATTTTTGTACGTATTGCTCAAACTTTGAACGGAATCTGTCTTGATCCTTTGTTTATCTTGCCAATGTGAATAAATAGGAATAATTGGAAAAGCTAGTCAATCAATTTATTAATGCCTTCACTAGTGACAAAAGCACAAGTACAAAATGCTTTATTTTGCCACTCATGAAAACTAGGCCTAGTAAGTTAGAATCAATTTCTATCACTGATTTAGATTTCTGATTATTTTATCAACTAATTGATAATGGTATGCACCTTAGGTGATTTTGATATTTTCTGCACCACATTGATTTCTGGTTATTTTTCACAAAGTCGTGTTCATCTTGTTGTTGTAACTTGTGCATTAAACATCTCTGAATGCCTACCAAAACACTTCTGTTAGAAAATTACCTGCCGTCAGATACATGAATGTTCTTCTTAAGTTGAGATCTTGCAAAACTCTGTAAGGTACCATAACCAGCCTTTTATCAATGAAGGTATGGAATGCAGACACTGATGAAATATTGTGATTTCCTGGCTGACAACCGAGCAGCTAAGCCTCAGTATAAGTAGGCTGAGTTTAAAACATTACTTCATAGATTTAGAAAATTTGTATTTTGGCTACATTCAGTGCAAGAACCCCTGCAATTAAATGTTTCAAAATGTCATTAATTCCTCTTTAGGTTCAGCCACTATACAATGGCAGGTCTTCAGACAAAAGTAGGTCAGTATGAGCGTGAAGTTCAGCAACTCAGAAAAGCATTACAAAAGAGCGATAACTACATAGAGGACCTGACAAGCAAGCTGGATGTGCCGACAGGACAGTCTGTTGTCAAGTCTAAGAGAGGCCAACCCAGATCAAGCTCAGTGCCAAGTTCCTGCACAATAACAAGTCTTTCAGAGGACAAAGATTCATCAGAGAATGGCACTGCTACCAAAAGTACAGATGATGTCCAAGAGGTAGAAAATGTCGATCCACCAGAGGATGCAAGCCCTGGCAATGATGGGGATCAAAAGAAAAGGTCTTCAACTGCAGGTGATAACGAGAATGTCATGTCTAATGGTCATTCTCCAATCCTTGCACCAATGAACAATGAAAGGTTCTCGTTAGAATCAACCACTTCTTTTGCAGATGAAAGAGCATCTGGTCTGAGCTCCCGACGAAGTTCCGAGGTCAGTCTGTATGGTCAAGACTTGGAAATCCCCCCTGGACCACTTACAAGCTCTCTCAACATTCTGGAGCCTGTGGAGGGGGAGGCACTTGATCGACCCCCATCTCGAGGAGAGCTGTTGTTACTTGGTGACCCTTCTTCTAGGAGACAGGAGAAGCCCCCACTAGAAGAAAACCTGAATATGTTCACTGCAAGTCGACAGCTGATTATGATGAGTGAGCGCAGGGCAAGGCAGAGGGATGTAATGGATCCAAGTAGATTACGAGATTTTAGTGAATGTTCACCAAGCAGCTCTGACGGAGGGAAAAGGAAATCACTGGACGCAAAGTCCCTTGATTTTGATATGTTCACCAGTGCTGCTGACGAAGATTCACCAAGCAATTCTGTTTCACATGAATCTCCTTCTTACAGCAGAGAAGCTGAGAGTGGTTCCCCTTGTTTTCATACTTTCTCGTTGGCTAAAATCAAGTCAGAAATAGAGCTAGGCCATGAGGATGAGAGTGCCCCCAAAAAACCAAGAGTAGAGGCTGATGAGTATCCGGATACTGTAGAGAGCGATGACCAGGGAAAACCTTGAGTCCTCCAGTGACTACCTTTGTTCACATGTGTAGTGTACCTTCATATTCTCATTATCAGTAGCTGCATCATGATGCAGTGATAAAATGTTTCTGATTGATCTTTTCTTAGTTCCTGTTACATATAGCTGCAACATGATCACAGTAGTGTCCAATTACTGTAATCAAGTTAAACCTTGTAGTTTCAAGTTGATTTTGGAAATTACTTGGCTGCTTGATTTCATTCATGTAGTCCACTCACTCTAGATACTTTAAGTAATTTATTGCAAATTAAGAATAAGAAGTAAGTTATTAGTTTCAAAAAGTTCAAAAATGAAGTAATTTGTTATTCCCATGGCAAATGATTTTTAAGTGATGCTTTATACTTTCTCCAGATTATGCTGCTAATACTTTTAGACAAGCAATGACTTAGATGCCCAAACGGTTATGAGCCCCCTGAAGATAGTTTGTTATCTACTTTTTGATAAATAGATTCTGTCATGATTATGCAAACCAATTTGTGATACCATTCGGAATCAGTCACATTTACTTCACTCTCAGAACAATACCAAATTAATGTATACCATCCCTCCTGGATTATCTGGAAGAGAGCATGTGTCCCACATGTGAAGGAAGTGCTAAGAGTGCATTTTTCACTCTGATTTTAGCTGATTTTGGGGTGACACTTAAACAATATTTGATGCATTTTTTTTATTATTTGGTGAAACCCTTCTTACAACAACTTTTCTTTAGGGAGGAAAATTGGCAACCTCCCAGATTTTCTTCTTTTAGGTTGGAAATGTGCCAACCTAAATGTGAAAAAAAAAGGATTATATATTTCCCACTTATTTTGAGTGGTATCAGACATTGGTTCCCCTCAGAATCGGATAGGAATGCAATGCTAATACTGTATTTTGTGCTTTATTGTTCTTCCTAAATGTGGGTGCACATTACATAGGCCCATTCTGATTATTTAGAGTTAGCTTCATGCACACTTCTCAAAATTGTTGAAGTGTATGAAGGAAATGGTCAGGGAAGTTTATCCTCAATTTGACATTGAGTTATTTAAGTATTATGAGAACATCTACATGCAAATTACTTTACATGGCATTGCTCAATCTAACACTGTAATACTCTGCATTTCAATCATTGAAAGACAGAAAATTGCAGTTTTATACATAATACGTGGCGTTTATGACAGTAGCTCACATTTTGTAGTATTCATAACATTTAGTAACAAGTTGTTTGATTCCATTTTGTCCCTGGACACTAAAATATTTTATTTTAAGTTATGAGTTGATATTTGGTAGTGCCATGAGTGTACAGAGCCCCTTTAATAAGACTGTTACCATGTCGTCATAGTCAAATTTGACCAGTCCCATTATTGAGATGGATAAACAGTGTAATTCAGTTCATGTTTTAAGTCTGAATGCTTTGTTCAGCTTTTCCGAGCTTTACAGCTGTAGATAACAGCAACAGTGGCATAAGATATAAAAATGTACTGGTGACTACCATGGTGCATATAGATTTCCAAACAGTATTCATCCAAGTTTTCGCCCACTGAATTTTGACAAATAGGGAAGACTGTGGGTGCATTATCCCTGAACACCAGGAAATTTCTATACTGTAGATTATAATGCACTCAATTTGAGGTTTTAAACTACATTTCTGACAATTTTTAATGGGAGTAAACAGTAAAATCGCAAGATCATGACTCTAACTATTAGTAAGTACTTGTTTAGCAGTGCTAGGTAACAGTAGCCCTTGAAATGAATTGGAGATGTAGGAATGGGGTAGCTGTGGTGTAATTTTGAGTAGCTGTATACCTTGTATGACTACATGTAACAACTTTTGAGGTCGATACTAATGCAAATATTCTAAATGTCATTTTTTGAGGGTATAGAATATTTAGAAATTATGCAGAGTAGGCTGGGAGAAATTTTGCAATAGTCTGTAAGTCATGTGTGAAACTGATAAAAATACAAAGCACCCACTACTAAACACAGTGAGAGTGTTGTTATGTTATAAAACAAACATTTTTCACCTCTTACTGTCACCACACTGCTTGTGTTATTGCAAGTGAGTCAGATTTTCCTCTCTGTAGATTAATTTTCACTGGTTTAATTATGAACAAAAACATACCCAAAAAATTATTAGGATAGCTTCTAGTTTTTCAAGTTAATTTCTGTAACTTTCTAACTCCTTTTACTCCCAGGGTCAACTGGAACATTTTCCTTATTGTGTTTACATACGTTTTGTTTAATTAATTTAGTTTCAAAGGGCCTGAAGCATGGTAACACTCAAGCCCAGCTTTGATTGACAGAAAACAAGTGCACATTCAAAGAATTTAGCAAAATTACGCCTCATTTTTTGGCTTTATTATATGACTGAGAGTGGGCCAATTTATCATTAATTTTTGATTTGCCCTGCGGTGTAGATTAATGTAGGCACATTCATAATTCTCTCAGTCAAATAAGGATTTACACTACCCATGATCAGTGAAAATTCTTCTAAGTGTACCAGTACTTGCCTAAAGGCTTGTGCAATTGGAGGGAATTGTCAAATATAACTTGTAGTGTAAATCCTTAATTGCATTCCCATTCATATGATTTCCTATGATAATAATTTTAACTGACTTCGTAATTTTAACAATATTGTTTAGCATCATGGACATGTAGTGCTATTAAAATGTTGCTGTTGTGTTTTGGACGCATTGCGAGCCTATTTTAGCGAGGTCAAATAACAATAGGCCCGCAATGCATACAAACTGCTGTATCTCTGCACCGAATAACCAGGACATTGTGGTTTTCAAGTCACCAAAAATCTTTTGTTACAGAAAGTAATTTTCAGTTGGTTCCAAGTGAAAACAACAGTTGTGAGAAATCAATTTTGACTGGTTGGGTATACCAAGCAAGCCCATATATGCTCCCAAATATTTTGGATGTTGCACTTTATGGTACTTAAGGCTCTATTAAATTATTAAAATTCTCTGTTAAGAAGATCAAATGGTTCATGCTCAACCTGCTTACTTGTATTGGATTAAATAGGAATATATGACTGCTGGGAGTTAGCCCTTTCAGGGTTTAAAAACCGTGATTTCAATAAACTAATTCTCCTTACTTGACACGGAATAACAAAACACTAGTTGGGAGAACTGTATTACATGTAGTGAAAGCCAGTTTTTCTTTGGGGAATCTGTTGTTGTGTTTTCATGGCCTGCATGCAGATAGCAGAAATTCATAATTCTTAATATCTGGATAAAGATGTAAGAGAATCCTTCATAAGAAAAAATATTGTGACTGATACATTTACCATAACTCGTAGCGCACGAAATCAGAAAAGTTCTAAAATCGTCAAACCAAGCAAAGTCGTTAATACAGGGGCGAATTTTTCGCAAAGACAGCTTCTGTTGTTCCCAATAGATTGTTTTAGGTTTTCAAGGTATTCTGGTAAAATGTACAGACGCCATATTTTGTCTATGGTGGAGGGTTAGCATTGTTTGAGTTGTTAATCATTTGAATCAGGAGCAGCTAGAAAAATATTTTTGTAATTTAATGACAAGGGTCAATGAACCAGGATATTTCAGTGTTTGGGTCTTTTTTATAAATATACATTTCTTTATATAACATACAAGTCCCCTTCATTCTTTGCTTGTTCTCTTTGCCCAGTTAGGGTCGAGTTGTTGTAACGATCTTCATCCAACTGTAAACGGAATGAACTTCTGTTAAGTTTTCTTCTCGCGAGTTGTGTTGTAAGAGACAACACCCAATTCTAAGACCCGGGCACAAAATAAGGACCGTAGATTGTTCCGCCTGCCATAACGGGTTGCCTGTGACAGTCCTGGTTGACATATGCCTAAGTAGTCAACGATTAAAATAATAACCTAACACGGATCTGACTATGAATGACTGTGTCTGGTCATCACGGATTTAGTCTCGATTTAGTGTGTCAGTCTATGTCTTGTCAGATCGAGTCACGAATCTTTACTCCTTGACAGATCTGTTTTCACGGATTTCCCTATTCCTTCTTGTGGAAATTTTCAGGGAGCAAGATCGGCTATCTTTAAAACGGGGAGCGGGGAATCGGGGAATCGGAGAATCGGGGAATCGGAGAATCGGGGAATCGGAGAATCGGGGAATCGGAGAATCGGAGAATCGGAGAATCGGAGAA